CCTTGAGCAGTAGTTTGTAGTTCTCCTTAAAGAGGTCCTTCACATCCCTTGTAAGTTGTATTCCTAGGCATTTTATTCTCTTTGTAACAATTGTGAATGGGAGTTCACTCATGATTTGGCCCTCTGTTTGCCTGTTATTGATGTATAGGCATGGTTATGATTTTTGCACATTGATTTTGTATCCTTAGACTTTGCTGAAGTTGCTTATCAGCTTGAGATTTTGGGCTGAGATGATGGGATTTTCTAAATATACAATCATGTCATGTGCAAACAGAAACAATTTGACTTCCTCTCTTCCTATTTGAATACCTTTTATTTCTTTCTCTTGCCTGATTGCTCTGGCCAGAACTTCCAATAATATGTTGAATAGGAGTGGTGAGAGAGGGCACCCTTGTCTTGTGCCAATTTTTGAAGGGAATGCTTCCAGTGGAGTAGCACTTCTAATTTCCTTCAAGAGTGTTTCCTTTGCATTACCAACTTGGCTAGTTGTTTAGCTCAAGAGGCCTAGCTTTTGGCCTGTCTCAACTTCCTTACTAAGCTTAATCATTTCTAGCTTTTGATTTAAAGTAAGACTTTTCCTTTCACTTGAGCACTTAGGGCCATTTTAGAGTTACAATTACCCTAATTTCTGTATCATTGTGTCTTAGGGAATAGAGGGAAGCCTGACGGGGGAAGAGAGATGGGTGAATGGCTGTTTGGTGGAGTAGTCAGAATACACACAACATTTATAAACAAAGTTGGCCATCTAATATGGGTGTGATTTGTGGTACCCCAAAATGATTATGATAGTAACGTAAAAGATAACCGATTACAGGTCACTAACAAATATAACAATAATGATTTTTGAAATATTGTGAGAATTACCAAAATGTGACACAGAGACATGAAGCAAACGTATCCTCTTGGAAAAATGGCACCAATAGACTTGTTCAATGCAAGGTTGCCCCAGAGTTTCAATTTGTAAAAGCACAATGTCTATGAAGCTCAGCAAAGTGAAATGCAATAAAACAAGATACGTCTGTACTTTGATCCTAACTTAGCTGTATTCATCACTCATGCTGTGCAACATTTCCCAAGTTGATTTCTACCAAACGTTGTCAGGATGTGAAAATAGATGATATGCAGAACAAGAGTTCTGTGTTCAGATAGAATTGGGACATGCTGATGATACTGAATCCTGCCATTCACACTTCCACTCTGCATTAGAATGCTAAAAGCTCTGAGAAGTCCTATCATAAAGAAATTTGATTAACCTTTAACAAATCCAACATTTCCCGTACACGTTTGAATGCAGAAATTTTTTCATGACAACTATTAACACCACAGAGCAGTTTTCCATTTGTTATTTTCCAGTTCTCTTCTGTTGTCTTTATTGTTTTTGCATCTCCTCTTTTCCTCTTGTGTGCTATTTTTCTCCAACTTCATTTTTAAATCCAGTGTGGGGAAATGGTGAGAGAAAGAGATAATTAGACTATAGAGTTTTGGAAACAGTTTGAGGTCCTGTGAACAATTCCCTGTAATACCCCACAAAATAGGAAGATTAAGTGGTACAATAATCTAGGAGAACATATGAAAGGAGAAATTATAGAAAAAGAATGTGCTTTTGACATTATGAAATTTCTCATAGTCATTTCATAGTCACTTCGTTATTCAAAAAATGAGTCATTTTTTATTGGTAATGTAGCCTTTCTTCTTCTAACTTCTAGCTTTAGCTTGTGTTCTATTTATGATAACATATATTGCCTTAGGCAGTCATGAAGCATGTGAATAAAAAATGGAGTTGGTATCACTAGAGAACATGACATGACCTATGGTAGGAAGGTAACATCCATACTTGTCCATTACTCAGTGTCTTTCTCTAGAGTCTTAGATTAGTTTTCTGTCTAGAGTAGTTATTGACAGGTTAAAACGAATGAAGGTAAGAACTAATTACACAGTCCATTTATAATCATTTTGAGGTATTCCACTTCCCTGCATAGGAGGCTATCTCAAAAGTATTTTTTTTTTTTCTGAATCACCCACATGACCCGTGAATATGTATCTAAAGATATCTCCAGTCACAAGCAACTGTTACTTATTGAGAATAACAATAGCCAGAGGATATAGCTTAATGATTCACGAATCAGCTTTACATAAAGACTCCATCTAGTCTCCCTAGAAACCAACGGATCAAATCTCATCAGGGTCAACTTAGCCCTTTCTATAATAGATAAATTGAATAACATGCTGTTTAATTTGTATGTGTATTATTGAATGAAGCTATGAAGAATATTTGGTCTGCATACTAAAGATATCACTATCATTTTGGTAAGTAAGGAAAATTTCAGAGTTATTGTTTCTAAATTGTTTAACCCTGAGTAATTGAAGATACACAAGAATCTTGAACGTGTCAGTGTTATGTAAGATTGTTTTTAATAGGTAAACAATAATTCATTAACGAACAACTTTTTTCTGGCTAGACTCTCTGGTTTTCTGCCTCCTCTTGGGCTTCATATAGAGCCCAAAATTCATTTGCTTGGATAGTTGATATCATTTTGTATCTTATATTTCCTATGTTGTATGCCATTTTTGGGGGATTTTATTTGGGAAGATAAAACTGAATTTTAAACAATTTTCCGTTCTTAAAAATCTTACAGATTGCCCAAGACTTAAATGTTCATTGCAGAAAATTTGGAAAATTCAGACTAGTATCAAGAGAAAAATAAAAGTTATCAATCAATGGTTCTACTCTCAGAGATAGCTGCTGTTAACCACTAGTAACATTGTTGTTAATATTCTTTTAGCTATTTCTGTGTATATGTGTATATAATAATACGTGTCTGTGTATTCTATTTCCAGATTACCAAAATTGTAGTTAGTTCCCAGTTTAACACTGCTCTAAACATTCTTTTGTAAATCTTTGTATACATCTCATTTCCTTACAATCAGTTTCTAGGAATGGAATTGTTAGGTCAAAGGGTACTAAAATTTTAAGATCCGTCGTTGAAATTTCCAATTTGCTTTCAAGAAAGGTAGTGTATTAGTCAACTTGGGCTGCCATAACAGAATGCCCAGCCTGGGTGGCTTAAGCCACAGGAATTTATTTTCTCACCCTTTCTGTGACTGAAAGTTCAAGATCAGGGTGCCAGCAGGGTTGGTTTCTGGTGTGGCTTCTCTTCCTGGCTTGCAGATGGCTGCCTTCTGCACATGATGTTCTCATATGGTCCATCCTTGGAGTGCATGCAGGGAAAGAGAGATCTTGGATATCTCTTTCGCTTCTTACAAGGACACCAGCCCTATTGGATTAGGGCCCCACCCATATGATCTCATTTAACCTTAATTACCTCCTTAAAGGCCTCATCATCAAATGCAGTCACATTGAAGGTTAGGAAATGAATTTTGCAGAGACACACTTCAGTCCATAGCATATAGTAACATTGACATTTCATCGTCAGTGAATGTAAGTTTCCATTTCAACATCTTATTGTCAATACTAGATATATGTACCATATATATGCATGTGCACACAAGCATGTACATATCATTGCTAATTGGATGAAGATGGCATTGTTTTATTTTGCATTTGGTCATTAGTTGCTGTCAAACTTGATTTTAATGTTTGGACTTTTTTTTTTTTTTGGTGAGTTTTCTGTTCCTGTACTTTGACCATTTGCGTGTGTGTGTGTGTTGGGGTGGTTCTTAATTTCCAGTAAACCTATATTCTTTCTTGAGTGTTGAGCTATTCTGGCAGACATTTTTGCTTATACAGAAAAGGAATCATATTTTAAAATATTATTTATCCTTTGGTATTAAATTATTATTTACCTTTAAAATATAGTAAAGTGTACAGGGTTAATAATATATGAGATTCCATATTAATGAATTATGTTTAATGCTCACCATACATTCATAAAGAGTATTTATAGTTTGCATGCATTGATTTGCTGGCAGTGAAATATAGGTAGTGGCAAGGTTAATGTAAAAATCTTTTCAGCTACTATTTGCTCTGAATTAACAAATAAAGCAGTGTTTCCTGTGATGTAGTCCCCAGAACTCTGATCCCACAAGGTGTCCGGTGAGAAGAGAGTCTGTTGGTTAAATATTTTTGACAGCTGCTGCATCCTGATGCCCTGCCCAGTGGTTCAAAGTGCACATAGGGAAAAGGCTCTGAGAAGCCATGTAGTAAATAAACCTGTTTAACTTTTGTAAACTGAGTACTTCCAAAACTTATTTTGACCATAGAACATCCCCTTATATTTTTTGTTTATGTGATATATGTTAACTTTTTATTTTGAAATGTTTATACATTCACAAAAAGTTGAAAATGTACAGGGAGGTCCCATGCAGCCTTCACCCAGTTTTCCCCAATAGTAACATTTTGCAAAACTATAGTAAAATATCACAACCAGGAAATTGACATTCATGTAATCTATAGAGCTGGTTCAGATTTCATCAGTTATATATGCGCTCATTTGTTTGTGTGTGTGTGCGCACAGTTCAATTCAGTTTTGTCATGTGTAGAGTTGTGTAACCTCCACCACGACAAGACTCCATTGTGCGATCTCTTTACAGTCACACCCACCCTCTCTCCTCTCCGTAGCTCCTGGCAACCACTGATCTTTTCTCTCTTTCTATAATTTTGTCGTTTAAGGATGTTATATAAATGGAATAATATGATATGTAACCTTTTGAAATAAGCTTTTTTTATTTTCACTTAGCATAATTCTCTTGAGGTTCATTCAGATTGTTAACTGTATTAATAGTTCTTTTCTTTTTTATTGCTGAGTAATATTATATGATATACTACTATCATGATTTGTTTAACCAGTCACCCATAATGACATTTACCCCCACCCCTTGTATTTGGTGGAATCTATTAATACCCTGTGTGAATATTGTTCTGAAGAATAGCAGTTTTGGAAATTCTGTATCACAGAAATCATGCAGTTAAATAATTGTCAGCCTTTTAAATATTATGATTGGGTTGCAGAAATTAAAAATCTTTTTATTATTTAATTTAGGAATTCCAGAGACGCTGTAACACTCTGATTTCATTGATTGAGAAGGAAAATATGGAAATTGAGGAAAGAGAGAGAGCAGAAAAGAAGAAACGGTCAACTAAAACTCCAATGGTAAAATTTTCAGCATTTTCCTAACTTTTAGGTAGATCCTATTTTTTTTTTACATAATTAAAATGCCTATATTATGTTTAACGCCATAGTGATACCTATTAATAATAGCTGGTTTTATGAAATGCTAATTTGCTTTGGACAGAAACAGAGTTACGTCACAACCACGTTTCTTATTTGTTTGTAGAACATATGGTTAGGAACTTCCTAGTAACTAGGCTCTGTGTTTTAAAAAATTCCTCATGAATCTAAGCAGAAGTATAATGCAAGTGAAATCTTTTGACTTGAGACTAGAGCTATCATGGGGGTAGCAGAGGGATAGGGGTGGGATGGGATGGGGCTGAAGTTGAAACTAGGAGTTCTGATTTGATCAAGTAAGTGTTCTGATGTTTGTGGAACCATGAGTACAAACGGGAACTCTGAGCAGACGACTTGGCTTGGTAATAAATGAACTGTTAAATGATCGGATAACTTGATTTGAATCCAGTCAGGTTGCTTTGTATAGCTGTAATTTAAGATATTCTTTAATAGATCGTATTATTTGAGTGTGGTTAAGTAAACTGCCATATTTCATCGAATCTAAGATGCCTTCCATTGTAAGACACAGCATTACTTTATGTACCACTGAGAAAAATGCTGCCAGGTGTAAATTGTCATCAGTCGTAAGATGCATCCTGATTTCAGCGATGCTAAAATGTGTAATGTGTATCACAGAAGATATGAAATATGGTATGTTAAAACCTATCAAAAGTTAAAAATATATATATACTCATAAATAAAATTTTGCCCAGAAGGCATTAAGTAGTTCTTTAAGAGATGAGAGTACATTTATAATACCATGTGTAAGTAGATATTTGATGACTATTTTTGATGGGTGTTTTATGTCTTTTCATAAAAAGAAATATCTTTGAAGGTTATTTTACATTGGGTTATATAGTTTGTTGGGCTATATAGAACATTAACTGTGAATATAACATTTAAGTGAATATTCATGTTAAAATTTTTTTTTAATGCATTTACATCCTAGATTTAACATTGTTGGGCCATTTAAAATGTGCATATTGGAGCAGAACATTAAATCTGTTTCCATTTTAGTCACAGAAAAGAAAAGCAGAGTCAGCTACTGAGAGCTCTGGAAAGAAGGATGTCAAGAAGGTGAAATCCTAAAGCCTAGAAATAAAGTTTTAAATGGGAAACTGCTATTTTCTTGTTCCCATCTTCAAATGCTAATTGCCAGTTCCAGTGTATTCATGGTACTCTAAGAAAAATCTCTTTGGTTTTGATTTCTTGCATATTTTATATATTTTACAATGCTTTCTACCTGAAATGTGTAGCTTTATATTTTATGGCATTCTAGTATTTTTGTGTACTGTATTTTGTGCATTTCATGTCTTCATCAAAATCCTCTCAGTCCTTGTTCTTTTGAAGCTTGTGCTGAGGTTTTAGCTTTTCTATGTTTTATATGCCGCTGCTTTGAAAGAGAACCTAGATTCTATAGTTGTATTATTGTTGTTTCATACTTTAAATTTATATGGCTGTGGAAAAATGAATTAAAATGATTTGAGGAGAAAGACTTTTTCACTTCTTTGTTGCTTTCTTTTCTATTGAGTCTGGGCTTGTATGTGTTACTGCATACTGTGATTAGCATAATAATTGTTTCTTTGAGGTCATCTAAATATTTTTTTCCTAAAGGAATAAAGGGTGAGGAAAGAGAAATATTAAAAAAACTAATATTTGATACTGTGCTTGCTGTCAGTATGCATTACATTTAAATTATTCTCTAAATATTCAAGTGGGAAAACATAATAAAGAAATGTCTATAAGAAATTTAATTATTTCCTGTTTTTTTGTGCAGTAGAAAGTAGTTGTGTTTACTGAATTGTATTGCTTACCACTGTGTATTTGGTTCAAAGTTAAAGCTTTGCTTGCTGACTTGTGTGTGATCTTCTGTCCCATAGAGCGAGTTCAGCAGGGCCTGGGTGTAACATGTAGAATTACTAACAACTAAGTTTAGAGTATGAAATAAGCACCATGCATGCAGAAGGGGGGCTGTATTTGTCAGGATTACAGTTATGCTCAGGTAACAATCTCAAAGTGTCAGAGGTTTTACACAGCAAGAATTTTTTTCTTGCTCACGCTATATATCTCATGCAGGTCAGAGGGATGTGGGAATGGGAAGGGATCTGCTCCACACAGTAACTCAAGGTTCCAGGATGACTAAGGCTCTGCTATTTTGTGGCTGCAACATCTGGGACATGTGGCACTTAGGCTCTTTACTGCCTCAGCTCAGAAGTGACACATATCACATCTACTTATATTTAATTGCCACCAAAGTAGTCATGTGGTCCTATATACCTGAAAGAGGGCTGGCAAATATAGGGAAATAAATGGAATGTCTTACATTACTGCCTCTGTCACAGAGACTGTCAGTTCAGGAATGAACCTGGGTCTGTTACATGAAACTTTTAGTGTGGAATTAATCAGTCTGGGTCAGGTTATAAGAAAGCAGGGAAAATGGATCTGAATCTAGTGTGAAATACACAACAAATAAGCAAAGCTGAGAATGCAGGATAATTATGTCAGTTACCAAAACAAGGTTTGGACCATCAGAGAGTTATCTCTTCCACGTTCCAAGATCTTTCGCATTTCCTGTCAGACTCTTAGTGTGTTACTAGCAAATTCGGGGTAGCTCCTGAATGTAAGTAAGCACTCTTCACATCCTCAGTCTTTTCATAGAGGTTCTCCAACAGAGGAATAGATCTTCTAGAACAACAACCCACTGTCTATTGGACTCTAAGTCTCCAATCATTGTCCAGATTTTATATCTCTTACTGCCATGTTTCTGGTTGCATTATTTTTACTGTTTCCACTATTAGCACTTAGACTCTTGTACCCTGTTGGAGGTTAGGGTGAAATTGGGGTGCTATTAAGAGACAAGGTTGGGATGATATTATATCAGGGGACCAGTGATACCCAAATTTGCCCTTGGCTTAACTGCCTTTTCTGTAAAACCTACAAGGGAGGCTAAGGTAAGCAAAGTAATACTTCACACAGTAGTTGGTGCTTTGGCTCCAAACTCCAGAGCTCTTCAACCAAAAATCTAACCTTGGAATTTTCCATTCCAATGATATGAATAGCTATAGTTAGTCATCTGTGCCGGAGAAAAGGATACCAGAGAGTTTTACTGATAACCCCAAGTTCTGGGCAGTAGAAAACAGCCTAATAATGGTCTGGACTCTGCTCGGTCAGTTCAGCCTTTCTTTTCCTAGGGAGCAGTGAAGATGGTGGGTGGGAGAAGGTACAGTTAGAATCTTTGAACGCCAACATGGACATTTAACAGTCTCTACTTTCTTTCTCTGGTAATCCAGAGGGATCAATAGCTGAGCTAATATGTGACTGTCTACCTTAGGGGAGAAAATTTGCAGGTAAGTTCTTGTAGCCTTTTCATGGAGCCATTTCCCTGGTCTATATCATGGCTCTTATGAGTCTTTCTTGGACCAAAGAGATGTGAAATTCAGCTCACCAAGGCCTTCAATGAATGCTTCTGATGTCATACTTAGAAACTTGTGAAATAGTTTTATTCAGGACTTAAAGACCACACTGTATATCTAGTAACAAATCCATCACCTATTCTACTTCTCATCTTAAAGTATGTATAGCTACATTGTTGAACCTAGCCTACCAAAGAGGTCCGTACAATGAACATCAGATGATAGCTTAGTCCAAATAATAGCATCTTGGAAATACAAAAATGCCTCAAGTCTGAATATGAAACCCCTCTTATTGTTACGTTTCCACAGAGAAATTAAACTCCCATTGAAAATATAAAAGTCCCAACAAAGAAATCCCATTTCAAACAAGAGGCCTAGACTAATGGGGTAATATCCCTAGACATGGCTGCCATGTTGGGGAGATAAATCTGGACTGTCAGTTTACCATGGCCAGAGGAAGCAGAAGAGAGTGCAGTATGCATGAATGCAGTCTTATGAAGCATAATGACTGCCCACTAGCAAAATGGTCTAGTTGATTACACTGGAGTCTGACCCAACCTGATTCCTTGTTTGAAAATGTACAAGGAAAAAAGCGAGGAGAGAAACGGAGACCCTGAGTAGCTTCCTTCACTCAAGGCCTCTATCTGTAAGGCATGAATGGATTTCCCAACAACCCTAGATCTTCACAGAGGTCCTTATTAAAGCATCTATCTTGATTGGATGGATACTCAGGCTCTAATTTCCTTAGAATCAGAAGAAGGCAGGTGGTAAGCTCAGTAATCTCTTGTTATCATCATAGCCATTGGTATGGTTTTATTGCATGGTTCTGTCTTTCTCTGGCTACCTGGGCTGTAAGTGTTATGCTATATTTGGATACTTGTCAGATTATACAGTTTTCCCATGACATATGTTTCCAGATTTGGTTCTTTGTCTGACTCCCAGTTAAGAGAAGTTTTTGAACTAAAATATTTGCTGCTATCTTAGTTGCTGGATGTTTGGTTTGAAAAGCCTCTATGTAACGGGTGAAGCTATCTACTGTCATAAAAATATAATGCTGTTATTTCCCAATTATTGGCAAAGATCCCCGCCGTGTTCTATTGTTCCTCCCTCTACGGTGCAGTAGCCAGTGCAGCTAGCTAAGAGTCCCAGGCCCGGCTTCAAAGCCACCACATGGCTTTCTCTCCAGGTGTTCTTACCAATTCCTGAAATCCTCAGGTTCTTTTCAAATTTCAGACTTCTCTGAGTATTCCATCTCATGTTTCCTTCATTTCGTTTCCCTAAGCCATCCTGCCCAATACACAAGGAGTAAGGTTTTTCTGTGGTTGAAATGCACATAGCTAATACTAACTATCCTGTCTCTGATTCCTCAGCCTTATTTCTGCGTGCTCCAGCTGATTTTTTAACTGCCACTATCTCTTTCTGAAGGCTTTTTCAGCAGCCTAGAAGGCTTCTCTACCCTCTGCATGGCAGGCTGAAAGAGCTAGGGAGTAACACCTCTGGGAGTGGCTCTGAATAAAACTGATGGGAGTTGGTGTATAAGTACCCCAACTCTCTTACCTCTTGAGCAAGGTAACTAAGTTATGTGATTTATGTGGTTCCCCAGAGTTTACCCACCAGATTAAACTCCAACCACCCACAGTGGTGGCTGTCTTGATAACACGCTCTATTAACTGCTTTATTTTCCCTGTATTACTTGCCTCCTCCCCTGTAGGAATTTCCTGAGGTCAACTCCTGAATAAACTACTTGTATCAGAATCTTTGTATCAACATTTGCTTCGGAAGGGAACTCAAATTAAGATACTCATCTTCTGTGTATAGCTCTTCTTAGCCCTTAGTAATTCATTTAGAAAGTGTAGGGTGTTTAACAAGAGTAATGACTGGATAGCAAGCATATTATTGATCTGTTCTTAGAAATTCTATTACCTCTGTGAATAGTTAGTCGGTGGTGTAACTGAATTAGAGTATTCTGCACTGGGAATCCCTAGCTCTTCCAGGCTACCATACTGAGGGTAGAAAAGCCTCTGAAAGCTAATTAACAAAAGAAATTTTCTTATATCACCAATAGCTATGGTATTGGGTATTATTATTAGGCAGAGGTTACAAGGTTCTCAAGTGTTTGGTAAGGCCAAAGCTGGTGCCCAAGCTATT